TATATATATATATATATATATATACTGTATATAAAATAAAATATTATTCCAAACTATTCACAATTTTTCTCCAAAATTTCATTTTTTAATGATGCATTCCCCCCCTCCCTTCATTATGATACCAGGAACAACTGTATCAGTCTGACAGTTTACAACGTTATATCCAAAAAAAAAATAATTATAAATTGAAAACATGCTCATCATAGTTGTATTCAAGTCATTGTTTATATGAATTTAATTTTTATATTATTTTGAAATAATCCAAACAAATATCCAAACAGGAGCACCTTGATCTAGAATCAAGATGGAATACAATGACGTTAGAAGTTTAAATGCCAGTTGATAAATTTGACTATTTTTGCATTTGCTGCAATTGCTATATAAGCATTATTACAATTAATTACAAATGTGGCGTCAAAAAAAAGACAATTTTCTGATTTCAAAGGCATCAGCATTTGGTCATTAGAGATGTGTGTTGACAAAGGAGCTCAGAGAGAATTTACACAGGGACACAAACAAATATGACTCATTTGCCTGACGCATTGAGCTCTACAAGTCTCACTAGAATAAATCACCTCTAATCTGTCTGGAGTACAGAATCAATCTCTTATCACTCATCCTAACAAGGCCTATTGTTTTCCAAAGCCAGATTGGAAAACCCTAACCTTATGTCCTCTAGCATAGAAGAAACCTGCTCAATATTGCTCAAAAGAGATATCTGAGATATCACATTTTGGAGGTGTGCCAGCAAAATGCACAGCGAATGTGGTTATCGATCTTTCTGGTACAATTTTAGGATTGCTATTTGCATATTGGCAAAGGCAAAAAAAAAAACCTGTCCCCATAAAAATGTATTCTTGTCCCTAAGTAAGTCTAGGATATGTTTTGCCCATATTAATGCCTGTTCAATTACAATTGTTCAGTAGCCTTTTAGTACTGGTATCAGTTGAAGAAATGTTTATTTTTGCCAATCAGTCTGGCTCCTGTAACATATATGAGTCACAAAGCCTCCCTGTGTAGCACACACACAAAAACAAAAAAAAAACAGTAAAACAAAACAATTGTTTCTCATCAATTTTGGCTGAAAATATGACAAATGAAACATAAGTGGTGCAAAAACTGTGATAATCTATAACAAATAGTACTAATAGTACTTGTGACTGGCGCTAGTAAATCTAGGATTTAAAAATGCATAATATGGCAGGCATTCTGCCCCTTAAAGAATTTAGTGAATATTGTTGGCCACAGGCAATGCCAACAAATGCACTCATGTCTTCATATCAGCCGTGTTTGTTTTCTGTGTTTTGTGTGTATATGTAAATCCTTTGAGTTACCTGATTCAACATCCAATGAATATTTGTCTATTGCAAGATTCATAGTTTGGTAAGCAGTATTGCAGAAGTCCTCTAGGATAAGGTACACTGTTGTTGTCACACCATGGGGAACTGGCTTGCCAAACTTCATCCTGCTGTTTACCACAATGCTTCCATTCCTGAAGTTCAAGATCTCTAAATTTTGGAAATTGCTGAGGTTGGACTGTAGATATGGTACAAGCTAGAGAGAAAAAATAAAATAAAATAAAATAAAATAAAGCATATTCCATTAAGCAGCAATACTGAGCCACACATACCTAGTGACGTTAATGGAAGTCAAGAAGGTGACTGAAGATTCTAATTCCATTCCAATTATCTCATTAGTTAGTGTTCATAAAGACAGCTGCTAATGGAGTTAACGGATAGTATGCAAAGCCCCTAACAAACCCTCCTAATGTTCTGCAACAACAAACTTCAACAAATCTAAACTGATGGTGTCCTGTGTGGCATATTCCATTAAGCAGCAATACTGAGCCACACATACCTAGTGATGTTAATGGAAGTCAAGAAGGTGACTGAAGATTCTAATTCCATTCCAATTATCTCATTAGTTAGTGTTCATAAAGACAGCTGCTAATGGAGTTAACGGATAGTATGCAAAGCCCCTAACAAACCCTCCTAATGTTCTGCAACAACAAACTTCAACAAATCTAAACTGATGGTGTCCTGTGTGTAACTTTAGAATATGCTTTATGGAATCGTTTACCCAAAAATGAAAAAAACAAAGGTAAGTGAATTGCATTTTTGGCCGTATTGTTGCTTTAGGAGATTTTTTACAGTACACACCTGCATATTGCGCCCTTGCCAGGTATGATGTCACATTTCCCATCATTCTGGCAGAAGTCTTCTTGTATATCGCAGATACTCTGACATGGCAGCCCGTCCACGCTAAAATAGCCAGCGTTACAAACGCACTCTGCCTCGCCTGACCAGCGGTTGACTAAACACTGGGAGAACTCATTGCACGCTTGGAACTTACATGGATCAGCCTGGTCACCTACCAGAAAGAAAAAGACAAATTATACATACTCAAAGCAAAGAGAAAAGATAAAAATAAAAGCTAACAATATTAATAATAGCCTAAGTATAATAGCACATAAATGTGTTTAACAATGGAAAAACGAACCTTTTCAAATCTAGTTTAAAACGTGTCATTTCTTAGAAATGTACCCTACTGTTTTTTTTTGCAGAAAACATATATTTTTCATTTTTTTAAATCATGAATTATTAATGGTAGGGGAACTGGCTTGCCAAACTTCATCCTGCTGTTTACCACAATGCTTCCATTCCTGAAGTTCAAGATCTCTAAATTTTGGAAATTGCTGAGGTTGGACTGTAGATATGGTACAAGCTAGAGAGAAAAAATAAAATAAAATAAAATAAAGCATATTCCATTAAGCAGCAATACTGAGCCACACATACCTAGTGACGTTAATGGAAGTCAAGAAGGTGACTGAAGATTCTAATTCCATTCCAATTATCTCATTAGTTAGTGTTCATAAAGACAGCTGCTAATGGAGTTAACGGATAGTATGCAAAGCCCCTAACAAACCCTCCTAATGTTCTGCAACAACAAACTTCAACAAATCTAAACTGATGGTGTCCTGTGTGTAACTTTAGAATATGCTTTATGGAATCGTTTACCCAAAAATGAAAATTTTGTCATCAATGAAGATTTCCATGCAACACAAAAGATTCCACCAGTAACCACTCACTACTATTGTATGAAAAAGTGCAATTAAAGTGATCAGTCCCAAACATGCTGTCTAACATCCCTTTGGGTTCCTTAAGCTCATTACTGCCTAAGGACATGTTCAAAAACAGTTGTGATTAATAAATCATGGCCTTTTTACTGATGTTTTGCTTTCCATAAAGTAGAGCACAGTAAGAACCTAAGAATTAATGTGACAAATATATCTTACCAACTCCATGAATTGCTGCTCAAGAGCCTTGTATTCAGTAGAGCTCTTGTTGAACAGATCTTCGGAAAACATCATGTTGGTGACCCTGAGGCTGAAAAACACTATTAACGCCCTTCCAGGACTGGCTGGCAAGGCAATACTTGCCAAGTTAGCCCCACGAGCAAATCCGCTACCGTCGTCTTCATCATGGTTTGGCCCATCAAATGGGAATATGTCAAATGAAACATCAAACTCTGTTATGTTGGGGTTTACTGGAACAGGAACTTTCAGAGTAGTACTGTCAGAGTTCACTAGTTTGGTAGGTAGGATGAGGCCTGTGATGTCAGGGCTTGATCCTGCTGTGTGCTCTTGTACGGAGTCATCTGACGTTATCTGGTTGGTAGGTTTGAATGTTGACTGATAAAATGATGGTACAGTGGTGGAACTAAGGGTCTCTGAATGTTCTGAAACATCTGGAATGACAGACATTGTGGATGACTGAAATATTATAGTTGAGTCTCCATCTTCAGCATTCTCTGATAAAACAGGCTCCTTTGCAACAGTTGCAATATAAGTGTGTATCACATCAGTTGGAGTCTCTGGAGTCGTCTCTTGAAGAACCGAATGAGTAGATGATTGGGTAGGTAGAGGTTCTGTGGTTGATTCTGGTAAAGGTTCATCTTCTATTGATGAATGTGATATCCGAGTGAACGGAGAGTCCTGCTCAGGAAACAGGGAAGATGAATGATCTACACTTGGTTCCTCAGTAGCTATTGTTGTTGGGGCTGTTGTTGCGACCAATATCTCATCCCCAGCTAAATCCTCTTTCGAGAGTTCAGTCACTGGGTTTTCCATAGGCATAAGCTTGATGACTTCCATCTCCTCATCTAGAATCTTGACTTCTTCATCTGATTCTTCTACCTCTGGCCATAAGAGTGCAGGTAACTCCATGATACCTTCGGTTACAGGAAGCTCAACAGCTTCTGAATAAGTGGTAGGACCTTCCACAGAAACTGTATCAAGTTCTAGGATTACAGGTAAATGCGTGGTTGAAGGCATTTCATTTGACTTTGTTGTGGAGGCCAGTGTTTCCTGACTCTGCTTGTTTTCTTTTGAAGTAATTTGTTCATCTATGGCTACTGCTGTGCTTGGTGGGATCACAGTGGGTGTAACAAGTCGTTCTATATAGTCCTTATCAGCAGGTGAACTGATTGTATCAGGACTTTGTGATGCATTCACATCTTGGGTTCCTGCTGAAGTGTAGACATATAGTGAGGGTTGACTGGTCACATGTGTAACCATAGTGGTAGATTCATCTGGAAAATAGTCTTCATATTGTTCAGGGGCTACTTGGGTCTGCATAGAAAGCTCCACAGTCAAAGTCTCCATAGTCCAAAAAACGGGAGCTTGGTCAGTTGTTGTGTAGTGAGGATTAGTACGAATGTCTTGTGTCACAAGAACCCTGTCCAAGAATGGCTCCTCGGATGTCAGATCTTGGTGGGGAGGCTCAAGCTGTTCCACTATAGATTCCTGATCTTCCTGAGGTTGGTGTACCTCATCTTCCTTCAAGACTTTTTCTGGTATTCCTGACTCCCAAGGCCAAATGTCAGGACCTATATGATCTCCAGAGAAACCTGAGCCTGAACCCAGGTCTATCAAGTCACTCTGAGTAGTCAACTCAACATCAGGAGGTTCCACAGGAGAAACTGAGATCTCTTCCAACTTGTGAGGTGATTCCGAAGGTAAGGCAACTACAGTAATCGTGCCTGTGATAGGACTGACTGTAGTTGCAGTCTGTAAGAATCCCTCCTCTTCAACAATACTATTGTCTAAAACAAGAACACAAGATTTTAGAACCATATTACTGCCTTTAGATGGGAAATAATTTGTGAGAGATTACAGTAGACTCACTCTCTGTACCAGGAGCAGGTGCACTGCTTGATGTCTCAATTTTAGAGGTACGCTCAATGTCAAAGTTCTTCATAGACACATCTGCGTGAGACAGAGTGGGACTTTCCTCAAAGATGATTACATCATTTGTGTCCTCACTCTGCCCATCCATCCAGGGATCTATTATGTGAATGCGGTCAAGGAAGTCATGATTTGTAATGGAGATGTCATTGTTGGATAATTCCTGCCTGGTAACATCTGGTGGTTTCTCAGAAGCAAGAACATTATCCTAGGATTTAATGATTGAACAGTCATGGTTAGTTACTATTAACTGTTAAATTATTATTGCGACATAAAGCAAATATATTTAAGGTAAGTCTACATAAATGTTGTTGACAAAAAGATGAGCCAAAAGACATTGTAACTTTCCACTTAGGCCTATGTCCACTGAATGTCCTAATGTTTCAGCTGTTAAAATTATATCTCACCATTTGGCCATTTAAAAAAAATAAGAGTAAAAAAAAAAGTACATTTATGGTGTAAGTGGAAGAAATTTTCCTCAAACTTGCATCTTCCATTTTTTCCAGAGAAATGTCAGTGGAAAAATTGCATAGACATTCTAAAAAAGCACATATGCACATGATCTTTACACCATCCTGAGGATCTGGTCCTAGATGGGGTATTGACTAAGGCATTTTTGACCAGAAGACAGTTTTTAGCTGTTCCATACACCAGATACTAACATTTAACCTTCATGCAGATTTGGAATATGTCATGTTGTATAAATAACAACTGGTTGCATATACATTCATGAGTTATTCACACCATTTTAGTTTTATGCAAGTAATGAGTGAGGTGCTACTGGAACTAGGTCACTGTCAGTTGCACACACTGGCCTCGTTCATGAAACACGAGCAGTATGACTTTCTGTGTAAATCATTCGTAAAACCATTCTTACGTAAACTGTCACTTTTAATTCAGTGCGACAATTTACATAAGAATAGTTTCACAAACACTTTACACAGAAATGAGCTATGCTCGTATTTCTTGAATTAGGTCCACTGACCATTTAATATAGGACAAATGGCTAGACCGATTTTCCTATAGAACTAGTTTTATGCACCCTACTAGTTATAATTTGCATCAACAGCTAGCTGATCACACACAAATATCCATCTTAAACAGGACAGATCAGATAAATCATCAACTTCTCACATCAACTTTAAGTAACTAACATGTGTCTTTGGAGGCAAGCATACTTTACCTGAGAGAACACATGTTTCCAGATACAGACATGGGCACCAGCCAAAACAAGACAGTAAATCTACTTAATAAGGGTATTGAAAAAAGGGCCAGTTTTATCAAATGTAAGAGGAAAAACTGGGAGTAAATTCTAAGATTATTGCTATGTTTGGTATCCAATGTGTCTTTCTAATTAAACTACAGACTGTGAAGAAAGCTGCTCGGCCTCTGCAATAAATATATGTCATACTGAGATTAAAAACATATTCTTTTCAATATTTCATAGTGCCTGAGCAAAACGATTTTCATAAAATTGCATGCTTACTTGTGTCTAAAGAATACTTGAGCTGGAAAATTGACTTGAATAGTTTTACAGACCTGCCGTATTATCCCATAGCTGTGCTATAATCTGTTTTAATGACATGCCATGAAAAACAATTTTATGTGCAAGGTAATCTTTCTTATCATGTAACAACAAAAACCTACATGTGATTGCCATTACGTGTGACTCATTTTTCATTTAACAGCTTTGGAAGGATTCACATTCACACTTTAAGTGATTGCACTGCAATGAGGTGAAAAAACTCTAAATCCTAAACTGCAGCTCTGGATAGGGATTCTGGACTGGACAGTCATGGTTACCCGTTTACTGGGTGGTCCTGCCAATGGCCATTGACTCACCATCATGTCACTGGAGTCAAGCGGTCTGCTGGTTGGTTTGGAAGGCAGCAATGTCTCCACTGTGAAGCCAAAACAGACAAATCATATCAAATTATACTTAAAACTGCTCAAGCACAGTTCATACCCATACTGGTATCTCTTCAAGAGAGACTGGCTCTAAGGGCTGCAAGATTAGTCTGCTAAAACCAGAGATAAGAACCATGAAGGCTCCTTGCTTCTGTTAAAATTGTGTACTGCCAAGCAGTGTAAGAGGATATACTAACATTGTCAACATACTGCATTTTGGGTTCATTCAACTACAATTTACAATATACCACAGTGACAGAACACAAACTTGAACCTGAATGATTCTAAGAAACTTCCGTAAGAAGCACTCAGCTCAACACCCTGATGTCTTGGGTTCCCTATAATGGATCCGCAATGTGTAGAGAATGTCCTACCATTTTCCAGTTGCAAAGAATCAGGGTCCACTTCCAGAGTGGTGTTTCTGATGAAATTCTCCCTGTGGAGGGCTTCGGTGATGTAGTTTCGGAAGTCAGTGATGGTGTAGACAACAGTAGGTAGCTCATCAGGATCTGTGAAGGAGTTCTCAACCATGTTGGAATGTAGGTTTATGTAATCCATGGTCTCTTTACTTATGCCCACACCATCGCCCTCAAGAACCACAGCATAGTGCACCACTACTGCCAGGCCTCTGAGGAATGCAAAGAAAACAGTGACTCTTTGCGGTCAAATAATAATAATAATAATAATATGCTTCATCAAAGGCCTCACTGGCTGTAAACTGGCCTCAAGACTGGAGTTGTTATGTATTAAATGACTCCAACTCTTATAAACAAAAGAACAGCTTCACCTACAGTACAGCAGGAGTTTGTCATGTTGGAGCCTGCTATCTGTTTTTGTCAGTTTGCCATATTTAATCATATTGAACTTTTACATAATTCTTATGCCTAGTAGTAAATTAAAATAAATTCAGAGAAGCACAGTTTACAGTAAATGGCCTAAGGTGGCTTGGTGGTTTTAGATGGATTAAGGTTTAGTTGTTCTCCTAGCACAACCAAGTTGGTCTGATTGGTCTCCTAGCCTGGTTAAGCTGGTTTAACTCATCAGCCACCTGGTCTCCTTGTCTAACCAGCATAAAAAGTGATGGTTACCTCTCTAAATTTCTCTAAAATCATCAAAATAGACCCGCTTAATCAGCATGGACAGGCTAAGAGACACTGGTTTAAGCTGTTTTGTTTTTTTACTAGCTAACAACCAAATTTGCTACAGAATATTCAGCAGCCAGCTGTTGAGCTGAACTAATTTTTTTTGTCCACGTTTTTCTAAGATGGTTAAAAAACCTAGTGGGTTCATGACCAGCTCAATTGTGTCTCCTATGACAGACAAAATATCCATGAAGATTCAATTATTTGGCACGCCAGAAATGCTAATTAGCTTTATATGGCTTTAAGTGAGAACATGTCTGTTTAGAGGTGGTTTAAGGGGCCTCCTGGAGCTCACAATATGCAGTTATTCATTGTGTGGTTTAACCAAGGCCTTGCTGACAAACCATGGGAAACACTACCACGATGACACTTGAGAGCAAAGAACATTTAGCATTTAATCCCATCATGCTTGGCAACTGGGCATGCATTTAGCACAGCAACTTATCCCACTTAAGGTGGCGACTGGCCAGACAAAATAGCCCACTGACATACACACACATATGTCACACCAAAATGAGTGTGACCATCCTTGCAATCAATTGATTTCACAAGGCTAATGAGGCAGCAAGCACATGACCTTACCAAGAAAACAGTGTGAAAGTGATTTCAGAGCAACGCTCTATAAAACACTACATATGGTGGGTGGAAAATTCAGGCACATGAATTTCTCATTAGATGTTTGGAGGAGATATGGGTCACGCAGCTGTGTGATATGGCAGGGTGGGGAGATGGATTTATCAGGCCTGGGTGAAACATTGCAGAAATATTAGTAGTGATAGCCCAAATGACATTAATGCCTGTTTTCTTCATTTTGAGATGTGATTAACTGTGACTTATAAAGGCAATGCATTTAGACCCAAAGTTCGAGCTAACTAAGATTTAGGATACTTACCCTTCAATGTCCTTCTGTGGCCTGAGATATTTTATTAAGAAAAAAAAAGAATGATATTAAGAATACAACACACACACAAACACACACACATATATATATATATATATATATATATATATATATGCTATTGCTTTTATCTGTATGCATAATCATATAAATTAATATAAAAATCATACCTGAATTCAAGCACAAGTATTTTCTTGAAACCTGGGAGCCTTTTAAAAACTTCTTCAATCTTCAACAAAATAAATGAGATGCTATTAATGTACAGTACTATATATATTTCCTGATGGGCATGAGATTATGGATTCTAATAATTTAATTATTTCATTCGCCAAATATATAAATGTATAGATGCTACTTACCTTATCGATGAACAGTTCGGATAGATATTGATAGTAGTAACTTGATGGATCTCTCAGAGCATCATCATAGCTTTCACCTCTTATCTTAATACTCAGCTCCACAATATGATCACCGACAGGACATGCTGGTCGGACCATAATGTCATCAATTTCATTTCCAATCTATATACAAAAAAAAAAAAGAAATGTTTCAGAGGAACTCACAATTACTGAGTTAAAAATATATACATAGTATACTACGTATACATATAGTATATACATATAATACAAGTGTATTTTTAAAGTTAAATAATTGTCTATAATAAATTTGATGTGCTCACCTTGCTGTTTTCATCTAAAATATCATTAGAAATGTCCTGTGGCAAGTTTTGTAATGTGGTGGAGAAAGTCTTTTGAATAGTAGTTGTCAAGTCATTTAGTACAACTGTGATATCCTCTACTTTCAAGATAGGAGTTGGGATGTCGTCCTCTGCAGGTTCTGGATGGACCACATGTATCTCAGGTGTTTCAGGTACTCTCTCAGTCACCTCTGAAAGTTCAGATATCAACAAAGGTGTCTGAGATGTCACCTCAGGTGTCTCTGAGATGGCTCCACCTGTCTTCAGTATAACTTTGGGTGCTTGAGATATGAAATGAGTTGTCTCTTTTGTGACATCAGCTTCTGTAATGACCTTCGGTGTCTCTGTTGCAGCTTCAGGTGTCTCAGGTAAGGTGTCTCCTCTGGTCTCATGCACATCTGTGACTTCATGTGTGATTTCCACCATAACTTTATGTGTGTCCTCTGGAATTTTTGGTGGCTCTGTAACTTCATGTATGTCCTTGTTTATGGCAGTTGTCAGTATATCTTTTTCCAACTTATTAACATTAAGATCTGGCATTGCGCCTTCAACAACTTTGAAAATTGTTTCCAGATCACCTTCATCCATTTTAGTTGTGTCTTCTAGCTTATCTTCCATGCCTTTAGTTACAAACTCTACAATGTCAGTTTCAGGGGTACCAATGTCAAAAGAAGTATCAAGTGTGGCCTTGGGTGTGATTCCAGTTGTGGTTTGACTTGTGGTCTTAGTAGAAGTTTCTGTTCTTTTAGTAGAAGTTTCTTCAGGACTTTCCTCAGATGATTCTTCTAAGATGACAGCTTCAGTTACATCACCCAATTCAGCAATAGCTTCACTTGTTCCTCCAACTAAATCTTCAAGCGTGTTTTCAAGAACTGTCACTTTGTCTGTGTCAATGTCTTCAAATTCAACCCCAGCAACTTCTGTTGCCTCTTTTGTCATCTCACCAGGTCTCGCAATGGTAGTTATGTCCTCATCAACATGCATGTTTTTCTCAGTAAACACAGATTCGGTAGCTTCTGTAGTTTCCTGTGTCAATCTAGGTGTCTCTCCAGGTGTGACCTCAGCAACTTCTGGGGACTCAGTTATAATGTCCTCTTCCTTACCTAACTGATCCTCTTCAAACTCAGTTGAGACATTTAAAGGCTGATGTGTTTCCTTTGACTCTTCATGAGTACTCTCTGTCATGGTACCTGGTAGTTCTTCATTTGTTGTCATCTCTGGTGTAGGTTTAGTGTAGGGTGTCTCTTCCTCCTTTTTGTCAAGTAATGTAACAATTTCAATGTCTTTAGGTTCATCCTCTGTTGATACAACATCAGGTGATATATTTACAGGTGTAGTGGGGGACAGAATTTCTGGCACTGTGGTCACATATGTGATTTCGACAACATCCTTATCTGTCAGAGCTTTTGGCAACCCTTCTGTGGAGGGATTAGGTGAAACCTCTTTCAATTCTGTAGGAGTTGTCTGCACTGGCTCCTCTGGTAAGACATTCTGAACAGGAGATATTTCTGTAGAAGAATCTGTCATGGTACCTGGTAGTTCTTCATTTGTTGTCATCTTTGGTGTTGGTTTAGTGTAGGGTGTCTCTTCCTCCTCCTTTTTGTCAAGTAATGTAACAATTTCAATGTCTTTAGGTTCATCCTCTGTTGATACAACATCAGGTGATGTATTTGAAGGTGTAGTGGGTGACAGAAGTTCTGGCACTGTGGTCACATATGTGATTTCGACAACATCCTTATCTGTCAGAGCTTTTGGCAACCCTTCTGTGGAGGGATTAGGTGAAACCTCTTTCAATTCTGTAGGAGTTGTCTGCACTGGCTCCTCTGGTAAGACATTCTGAACAGGAGATATTTCTGTAGAAGAATCTGTCATGGTACCTGGTAGTTCTTCATTTGTTGTCATCTCTGGTGTAGGTTTAGTGTAGGGTGTCTCTTCCTCCTCCTTTTTGTCAAGTAATGTAACAATTTCAATGTCTTTAGGTTCATCCTCTGTTGATACAACATCAGGTGATGCATTTACAGATGTAGTGGGTGACAGAATTTCTGGCACTGTGGTCACATATGTGATTTCGACAACATCCTTATCTGTCAGAGCTTTTGGCAACCCTTCTGTGGAGGGATTAGGTGAAACCTCTTTCAATTCTGTAGGAGTTGTCTGCACTGGCTCCTCTGGTAAGACATTCTGAACAGGAGATATTTCTGTAAGAGAATCTACCGGAGGTCTATCGGTAGACATAATTGTAGCTTCTGAGACGTCTACATCTACATGCTGAATGGTAACAAGTGCTGAATTAACATTACTTTCGGTAACACCCCATCCAACATTAATCTCAGTTTTTGAAATAACATTTTCTGTAGATTCTCTAGTGTCTACTTCAGGAGCATTAGTACCTATTCCTGGCAAGTCCTTAAGGATTGTGGGAAGATCTGTCTCATACTTTCTCGAGGTGGAATCTACTGGAGTTCTACCAGTGGACATCAGTGTAGCCTCTGACACAACATCAGTTTCTACATGTTGAATTGTAGCATCTACTGATTTAACAGGACCTTTAGTAGCACCCTGCCCCATGTCCAGTTTAGTTACAGAAATTATATTTTCAGTGGATTCACTAGTGATTTCTGTAGGAGTACTGTTACTTAGCCCTAGCAAGTCCTTAAAAGTTGTGGGAATATCATAATCATATTTTCCTGAAGTAGAATCTTCTGGATTTATATCAGTGGTCAACAGTGTAGACTCTGAGACAATGTCAAGCTCTTCATGTGGAATGGTAACATCTGCTGTCTTAACAGGACCCTCAGTAACGTCATGTCTCACAAGGGCCTCATTTGTGAGCTCAGTAGGTAAAATAGTGATTATCCCTATTGAGTCCTCAAAGGATGTGGGAATAACATACTCATAATTTCCTGAAGTAGGAGTTCTATCAGTGGTCATTAATGTAGACTCAGAGACAATGGCCACCTCTTCATGTTGAATAGTAACACCTGTTGTCTTAACCGGACCCTGAGTAGCATCCTGTCCCATCTCCAGTTCTGATTCTGAATGAAGCTCTTCAGTGAATTCGCTGATGATTTCCGTAGGGGTATTAGTGCTTACCCCGGGTGAAGCCTCCAAGGTTGCAGGAATATCATGCTCATATTTTTCGGAAGTATAATCTTCTAGAGTTCTATCAGTGGTCAATAATGTAAACTCTGAGACAACATCAGCTTCATGTTGAATGGTAACACCTGCTGTGTTAACGGGACCATCGGTAACATCCTGTCCCAACTCTGTTTCTGAATAAAGCTCTTCAGTAAAATCACTGGTGACTACTGTAGGAGAAGTGTTTATTCCTAGCAAGTCCTCAAAAGCCGTGGGAATCTCATAATCATACATTCTTGAAGTAGACTCCTCTGGAGTTCTTTCAGCTGTCATTAATTTAGACTCTAAGACTATTTCAACCTCTTCATGTTGAATGGTAAAATTAAATATTTTGACAGGACTGTCAGTAGCATCCAGTTTTACCTCCAGTTCAGGTTCTGAAATAGGTTTCACAGTGGCCACACTTGTGAGTTCTATAGGTGAACTAGTGCTTATCCCTGTCGAGTCCTCAAAGGCTGTGATACGATCAGGCTCAGGAGTGATTCCAATTGTCATCTGAAGCTCTGCAGCCATAGTGGTGAATAAGATTTGGTCTTCAGTGGTCTGTGGTGTGATGTCCTGTGAATCTGTTACTGTCCCAGGAACCAGAATACTGACTGGGTGAGGAAAGAGAAAGAAAGAGAGTGAGGAAGTGGCAGAAAAAAGAAAATGTATGTCATAAGAGGAAGTTTGAATCATTTCTGAATTTCATATTGTAAATTGCACCCATTAATTGCGTACACTTATTTGTCTTCAGGATCAGGGCCAAACATGTAGCCTATCATTGAGGCCAAGTCCATGCACAAATAATTAGTTACACTTGACTAAATGGCAGAACTATTTCTAAGGATCCTGACACCTCTACTGCATTACAAGTCTCTGAGTACCTAAAAAGGATTAAAGTCTATTCTGAGAGCAGTGTATATCCTGAACCATAGAGCACTAGATCTCTGTTGATATGTCTGCAGGGTCGCATACAGACATTAACAATACAGATATATCAGAGCATAACTTATATCAACACACTGCAAAATTCAGTCAATAGAAGTAAGAATTTCTAGACTTTGGCTACTTATTTTGAAGTATTTATAAACACAGGGAGTGGGAACACAGATCCATTGTTTAAGAAGCATATTATTTTCAAACAATGTAGTAAACTAGACTGACCTTGTTGGGTTGTGGCCACGTTTGCTTGTGTTGGACCAGTAGTCTTTGTCTGATGTCTGCGAAAGAAAAGACAATTATAAATGTTTTTAAGGCCAGGAACATATCTAAACATACCAAAAATCTACAAAATCTAAACTTGGTTTAGCAACCAAGTTTAGTTTCCCCCCTTCAGGATATGAATTGAACCATAATCAGTGCTATGTCTCTAAAGCTAGTGGAAAGTAAACTAGCTTCAGCAGGGACTAAAGGTATGACTGAAATATTTGCAGTCTGAAGCCAGAGTTATGCATCCAGCTTTTACTATTAATGGGTGGGTTTGTCTGCAAAGCACCAGTGTGTGCTCTGAATTAGCTACTTTAGCTGCCTTGCTAAAGAAAGAATTGGTGTTTTAGATTATTTATATAGTCTTAGTATTATGTTACATATGTTACAATCTGAGCTCCACACTGTGCATTTGCAGATTTATTTATGTTTAGGCTGCAGAGCGGTACCACTGTATGCAAATTATGTTGTTTCATGCCTATAAGTAGCTTGGGAGCTTGAAGTCCTACCTGCATTCAGGTTGCCATGGGCTGGTGGGCGCACTATCATAAGACAAATATAGTGAAAAATAATGTGATTACACTGTTACTTTAGAAAAGCTTAAAAAGTATTTCCTGCAATATTATCATATTCCTATCCTATCATATATCATATAGTACCATGATATTAACATGGTACTCCAAAGTGCTTCAAAGAATACCATGTTATTATGATGGCAATGTTTGTAAGCAGTTCTCACCTTGTTGATGTCACTGAAGCCGCTCCTACCCTCTGCAAAATACCATAAAGTAGTTTTTTGTTTCTCTCTTTTAATTCAACAGTTATTTGTTAAGTACCATGACATAAACAAGTATACTTACATTTGAAATCAGAGCAAGGTGCTCAGCTGACTGGCTAAAGCTCCGGCCAATGTCAAACACGCTAACACTACTATTTTGACATTTCCTCATCCAGATTTGGTACTCTTCTTTCTCAGGTAAGCGATCCCAGAAGATTTTGAAAGCCTCCCAAATTGTTTCCTGGCACACTAAGGCACAAACAAATGCAAACAGATCTACAGATACCCATAAGCATGCCAACCCATACAATGTAAACACACACAAGCTCTTAAATGTAGGGAAAAAGACAGGAACAGTAAAACAGCCAAAACATTGAGGAAAATGTACCTATTTTTGACAATTCTCAATATCTTTACAATATATTTTGACAAAGTATCAATAAAATTGTGTTTTTTAGTGCATCACTGCATTAGCTTTAGCGACATGCTAACCTATGTTGCCATTTAAACTATGCACTTTGTAGAGTTGCTGTCTATGAGTGCACTCTAGATCAGTCACTTATGAGGTTCAATTGCAGTTATGATTATGATGGCAGTGTAGACAGCAGACAGTAATGCAGCTTGCTAGGTTTTGGAAAAGAACTAGTGAACTATAAACAGTAGAGAAGAAATAATCTGCCAAAACACCAGCTATGAACTATGAGCTGTAGTGGAAATTGACATCACTTTGAATGGATACCCCTTTCATTTAGAAGACACAAATACAGAAATAACATATTTCTTTCTTTATTTCTAAATTAAATAAAGAAAAAGCAATAACTAACATAATGGAACCATCTCTTATCCTTATCCTCACACGTCAATTGCTCCAGACAAACTTAGTTTCTTTTATTTCTCAATTTGTGAACCAAAATTACTATTTCGGTAAGTGCCGCATACTTTCTCAATGTACCCTGCAAGTGGAAAATTAAATGCGCAGATGGGGGATGTTAACCCTTGCTAAACATTTTCCACCTCCAGTCGAAATGTTCCACCTACATCTGCCCGCCATACCAACTATGTATGACGACTAACAGAAGTGCGTAGAAAGGCAAAGGTCATAAGTTTTCATGGCAGAGTGAAGGATCTTATCGCCGTCTACAGTGATTCAGTAGCAATGGGCTAGAAATGGGGAATTCTGGCCTTTCCTACTGGAACCATACATGTTGACAGCAATTGACTTTAACAGCTTTGTCGGACATCTCAAGCCCCCTGCTGACAGCCACACCTTTATTATCAGCCTTAAAGGGACAGTTCACCCCAAAATAAAAATTATGTCATTATTTACCATATGATTTCTGTTTATCCATGGAACTCTAGAGAAGTTATTGAGTTGAATGTCTAGGCTACTCTTAAAAATATAGGTTATTTATTGGCATTTATGGTTCCATGAAGAACAACATTGCACAAAAGGTACTTTAGAGTGGGAAAAGGTTCTTTAGATTTTTTAAATATTCACGGAAATATTCTTTGAGGAACCCAAATGGTTCTTCTATGAACATCACTGTGAAAAAAAAAAAAAAAAAACCTTTGGAACATTTATTTTTAAGCGTGTACAGTAAGAAAAATATATTTTTGCTTTAATTTTTGGGTGAATTAATTTCTTTGGCATATGTAGTGGGGGAACACCAGATACTTTTTTATTATTATTTTAAATCAGTGTTTCACACAAATTGTATTTGTGTTCAATTATAAAAATGCAAACCAGACACATTCACAAGTAGTCTCTGACTTTTGGACCCCGCTCTACATGTAATAAAGCATCAGAGTGCCCTTTAATAGGATTCCGTGGCTAAACGTAATCAACTTTCCACTGACACACTGCAAGAATAACCTTTATGTAAAACAGCAACACTTGGTTCTCGAGTTGTCGTAATTAGATTCAATAGGGTCATCTGGGTCCTACTAATGCACCAGCGAGAAACATTATTCTCAGCAGTGGTCTCCAATAGAGTTTAATACTTTGATTGTATCTAACTTCACAGGCTAATATGTGAAGCTTAGAAAGAGCATGATGTGGAAAAGTGTGTCGAGTGCGTCTGAATATTTGTGCACAATTATATGTAAGACAGAGACAGAGACAGTGCGTTTCTGACGTTTCGAAACTGTGGTCAAATATGCGGTTACTTGGATGTTAATGGAACCGGTCAGGTTGGCTTAGTTTATTATTGATGAAAAGTAGAGAAGTATGAGCTCATTTTTCTCACATAATGAGCATCCATTTACACTACAGAAGTCATCTGCAACGTACTGTACCTTACAATTACCATTCTTAGCGACTATCCCAGAATCCTTTAAAAGAAAGTAAAAATGAAATGTCTGGTTCTTACCTCGCAGGTGAAAGTAGTTGAGATGATTCTGTATTGCCTGTTGCACCGTCTCATGTGAGCAAAGTTTAACTCCACTGGGAAACAGGAGGTCTCTTTTCCGTCTAGAAAGAGCCATTTTCCCTTCACCAGACATGTAACTCGCGGTTTTACCTTTAACTGGCACCAACGAGTGATTCAAAACTTCACTGGCATCCGAAAAAGTTTTATATCCATTTGGTAAATAATCCTTGTGAGTTCCAGAATCTGATGAAGAACAAAAAACACATCGTCACAAGATTGCAAGCATCACAAAACTCCTCAAGGCCTTCATGTAGAGTAGATACATACCTGCATCTAAGGAACAATATCCGGTCACCAACAATACCAAAACCCACCAAATGCATTTAAAAGACAGATCAGGCATAACGATTCGTTATCCAGGGACACTTTAGAGAAAAAGTCTTCAATTTTTAGTTCACTGACTGATAAAATTTGGGCATCCCTCCTTACAGCCCCCCCAAAAAAACTTGTGGAGAGTTGAATTAATTAGTCTGCATTGTCAGAACATCCTTTCCTTGTCACAGAGGGATGCGATCATGTAGCTTTGAGCTGACGTCTCCCCATGCGGCTTAGCAGATGGCTCTTTGGGAGATTTTTCTTGCCCACTAATCCTATTTGTTAATTCTTCTGAGGAAGCTTGTCGAGAAGTCAGTGATACTCTTTCATTGCCCACCTGTACGATCTGTCTGGATTGCCGAGATGTCGAAATACAGTCCCGTAATTTGCGGTCCGATCCGTTGAGTTCAAATATAAGAGTGGCTTCCTTGTTCTCCATTGCTGCCGTTGGGTGTGGGATTTCAATTCGAAGAGTTGAAATATACACGATTAATTGCACAATCTACCGTGTAAGATCTCTTGCTAAGACCAAGTGTTTGACTAGATGTGACATCTTGTAGGGTTAGCCCTTTGTCTAAAAGTTTGCCACGTGCTGTGACCGCGCAGCTTACAGGGACTTCATCTTTAATGGGTTTTGGGTGTATTCCATCATGGCAGGGATCGTATGAACAGATGGCACAAGCGTGGGCCAAACAATTCCAGGTTTCGTAAGATATCAATGGTTCGGTGGAGGATATTAAAACCACAGATGATCATTCAACGTATATTGCGTTGAATTCATTCTAAATCAGTGTTCGTAAAGAGAAACTCTGAATGCTTGCTTGTCTGAAAGGTTAGTTTATAAAGGATACTTGGGCAGTTTGAAGTTTAGCACATTGGAAATCAGATATAGATAGATAGATAGATAGATAGAGAGAGAGAGAGAGAGAGAGAGAGAGATGAATGTTAAGACTGCCAGATGGTTCAGACACTGAGCTGACGGACTCTGGTTTAAATCCATTGAGTTTGATGGTAAAGGGTGTTTGACGGGAAGCAGGCGGTGGATGTGACAGATCAAACCCTGTGTGACATCTGCCATCTCTGTAGCTTTGTTTTCTCTTTCTTTTTCACTTTGTGCTCCGTTCATTCTTTTTACTTATCCTACTAACAGTGTCCAAAACGCACCAAAACGAATTTCGGAATTCTTCACCAAAATTAACGTAAGATGCATTTCCTGTTCTTATTATTGGGAATAAAGTAACATACTCCTTTGTCTTGCTAAGACTATCATTTTTATGTATCCTAAAGGCATGCAATTAAATTATTTGACAATTGTAAATGATTGTAAATAAATAAATAAATAAAAACAAATATGATTTTCTTTGATGTTTCTGTTTCTTCACACATCAACTTAAGCTCTTTTGAAACTTTTTCCAAGCTATTGAAAAAAACGGTTATAATGGTTAATTTAAAGATGTGTTATTTTATATATATATATACACACACACACACACACACTATATATATACACTATATATATATATATGCATACACACACACACTATATTATATATTATTTATAATTTTTAATTAACTAATATTTTTTAATTTTCATTCTAATTTGTTTAAGTTTTAGTATGTTTTTTTCATTTAATTAACTTGTATTTTATTTCAGTTTTAGTTATAATTATTTGTAGTACTTAAACTCCTAACTTATATCAGTTACCAGGTTTCATAAGTAAATTTTTTTAAATCAATATTCAGTACCAATAATTCAATATTTATCAATGTTTCAATAGTAAATATTTAAACTGTATTTTATTTCAGCTTTATTTCAATTATTGAAAACTTTTTATTATCATTACTATTATTGCTGTTGTTGGTTTTAGTGAAATGATAACAACACTGAAAACTAAAAACAATATTTGTATGATATATTTTTAAACGCATGATAGTTTCCAAAACGGTTTAATGTGACCTTATTTTTTTTTTAAGATTTTAAAAAATGATGATGATGATGATCAAGCAGACAAGCTGCACAGTAATTCTGGGAATAGACATCATCACAATAGTCACGGGTTCAGTTATCACAACTCCTTACTTCAGCAGGAAGTTGTGTAAGCGTTTAGGTAACTTTGGCTTCACCTGAATGAAAATAGCTAACAGAAAAAGCAAGGAAGGGTTGGAGCAGGTCGTCACAGCAGCACTCCAACATCTTGACCTATTGAATTCAGACAGACCTGAACAAAGCTTGTTTTCTTTGTCACAACACTATGTCTGCCATCCAAGTGTAAAGGACAAAGTTAGCGCCAGACAGTGATGGTGAGATTTCAAGAAAGTTTAATGGTTAAACATTGTAAATTGGATAAAATGGTATGTCGTTGGACGCTCGCCTGTCAGAGATCTGGGCGACTATCCAGAGAGTCAGATAAGGATTTCATCTTCAGTCACTTCCATTCACATGTACTGTACTTGGTTGATATGATTTAGCAGAAAGCTACATACAGTTCATATGCACTTCTTAAAGAAATAGCCAAAATATTTTGAATGGAGATGTTTTGCAGAATGTTCTGGCAGCTCTTTTCCACACGATAAAAGTGAATGGTGACAGGGGCAATTAAACTCCAAAACTAAAAAAAAAAAAAAAAAAAAAAAAAAAAAAAAAAAGACATTCTTGGTTTTGTTTTTATATATTTTCGGCAATCAGATCCTTGTTTCTAGAACCAGAAAACAGTGGCGTAGTTGTCAGAGTAGATTATGGTGTATATGAAGCAGGGTTGAGGGGGGTGTGCGAAATCTCTTCTTTTCAGAGGCTAATTCAACTCTAATCTCAGAGTCTAGTCCAGATTAACTAATCTAGGGCCGTATAGTGTAAAGTTGGAGTAGTGGGCCTGACATCGGCTCAATCAGGCTACTTCCATTGTCAAACGTGATTAGGGGAAAACCCAACACTGATCCTAAATCCCAGCACAGCATCCCAGTCAGGCCTTGAGTTTAAGGCCACACACTGCGGGAGGCTCAGTACTTCTAAACACAAATCATATACTGGATACAGGGTGTCCAAATGTATTCTATATTACATTTTCTAATTTAATTTATATATTTTTTTGAAATTGAGAAATTATATTATCAGCAAACCAATTTGAATAAAAAGTGCATTAAAAGCTTCTTCGCACTATAATTACAAAAATACATAATAATAATAATGAAATAGAAAAACTGAGAAATAATGGAAAGGTCTACTAAATTTTAGGGGGCATTTTTAGACAAACAAAAAAAGATATGGCAAGTGGCCATTCTTGTACAGCAATAATCTCTTAATTTTCCTTGAGGAATCCTTCACTATCCTGAGGAATAATCTTCCAGTAAACAACATTTGAATTAGCGAGAGAGAAACCCAGCAGCGGACGCTTTAAATCCCATTCCCATCTGAACAACACCCATCTGCTCCGAGCAACACACTCCTGCTCTCCTCCAAATCCCAGTGCGTTCATGAGCAACCGGCTTCATATACAATACTATTTTTAATAAAAATCATTCTATGATAAATATATGAAGGGTCAAAGTTCACCCTAAAATCAACAGGAAAAAACATTTGATTCTAAAAAGACACAATATTTTATATGAAGAAAATCTTGACAATTAAGCACATTTTCGGCCAGATATGCTTAAAATAAGTTTTATATTCCCACGAGATAGATATATATATATATATATATATATATATAGATAGATAGATAGATAGATAGAGAGAATATTTTGTAATCATTACGACTCGGTATCTCACAATTTGGATTTTTCCCCCCCGCAATTGCAAGATAAAAGCTCTGAATTCTTAGATAAAAAACTGAGAACTTTTCTCTTTTTTTAGAGAAAAAAAAAAGAGATTTGTGAGATATAAACTCAGAATTGCAAGACATATAAATTCCCAATTATGAGGAAAATAATTCCCAATTAAGAGATAAAAACTTGCAATTTTGAGAAAAAAAAGTCAAGATTTTTTGAGATATAAAGTCAGAAAAGTGAGATATACACATTTGCAATTCTATAAAAAGTCAGATTTGTGAGAAAAAAAAAGATCTGAATTGTGAGATAGAAACTCGCTATTGCAGGGAAAAAACAGATTTGTATATCCAACTAATCCAACCATATATATATATTGTGACGAGCGTCCCGAAGCTTCATCAGCGTTGCCCTGGAAACAAGCGAGGAGCACCTGGCCATCATCATCACAGGCTGATCGGTCACAGCTGCACCTCATCAGCTGGGAAGGCGGAAGAGAGCACTCACGGCACCGGAGCACCTACCTAGACCTTTTTCACTAACACCCATCACCCCAATAAATCCACCCTCTGGGGTATTGATTGAGATTACTTGTCGTGTGATTCTTCACCCCGTTACACTGGTGGAGAATGCGGGCAAATCAGTGAAGAATCACCCCTCGCCACCCGTCAAGGAGAGACGGAGCAGGAACTTGCGGACCCCCGAGTACAAGCTGCGAAGCTGCTACCTAAGCTGACCCCTCATGATGACGTAGAAGCCTTCTTACAAATGTTTGAAGCGACGGCCACCATGGAAGGATGGCATAGGGATGACTGGGCACGGGCGCTGGCTCCCCTGCTGACAGGCGAAGCGCAGCGTGCATACTTCGCGCTTCCCGCCGCCTCCGCCGATCAATATAAGGAGGTCAAGAAGGAAATCCTAGCCCGCCTGGGGTTATCCCCAATCTGTGCCGCCCAGCACTTCCACGAGTGGGAGTATAAGCCCCGTCTGCCGACCCGTGCCCAGGCCGCCGAACTCACACGACTCGCGCAGCACTGGCTGCTGGAGGGGGCTCCATCGGCTGGACAGGTGGCGCAGCGTGTGGTGATTGACCGTCTCCTCCGAGCCCTTCAGGCAGTGGGGATGAGGAACCCAACCACAACCTCCGAGCTGGTGGACCCTCCGGGGTATTGATTGAGATTACTTGTCGTGTGATTCTTTACCCGTTACAATATATATATATCAAAATCCCAACTCAATTTTAAAATATTCAGCTCTTTTTTTTTTTTTTTTATTCAAATAACCTAAATTTTGTGTGGAAATCAATAAAACGGATGAAACTGAAGTTACATTTAAAAACCATTTTAATACAAATAAATACAAAGTTAAATTATAAATATCCTTTATCTGATAATCAGTAGAAAAAAAGAAAAAGAAAAACCCTAATAGTAGACCCTAATAGTTGTTTGTTTAGTGAGAGAGCATGTTCCGGCTG